TATTAATATATTAATAGAGAATATACCAATGTGATTCTTTCAACTCAGTCACATTCAGGGCCTGCATCTTTTTTAACTGCTCATGTTCAGATCTTAGTGAGAATCTTTTCTAAGACCTTTTTAGCACATTCAGATTTTAAAAGGGTTAGATATTCTACATTTCTAATGGTTAATATTTTGCATTATTTACCTCTGTTCTGGCTACCTTGGTCAATCTCACTTTTACCCTGCTTTAGTGAGTTATTTGGCCACTTCTCAAGGTAACGTTGATGTCATCATGAATACCTTGCAAGAACTGACCAAAATTACTCTGCTATCCTCTATCATACTTGTACTACAAATAAGTATAACAACATGTCTGAAAAGTAATTTTACATGTCAGTTAAAGTCAAGTTTTTCATAAATGCACAGCCAAATATTTAATTTGCATTTCTGCATTTAGTAGTTTGAAGAACAGATCTGAAAATGTTACTGAAGATAACAGAAGTTGAACACCAACTTTGGAACTTGTTCAATTGCTTAAATACAGAATTCTAACAGAATAAAAACATATATCCTAGAAATTGAAAGTTATAACTATTGGAAGGTTACAATTACATGAAGGTTATAATTACTGGAGACACCTCTAAAACCATAGCGATTTTAACAATCACACCTGTAGGCCCACAAAACCATAACTGAGACCAAGACATTCCAACGTGGATGTTAGAAAATAACCAGACTTCTGTTCACAGGAAATTAACTGTATTTCTAGGTTCTTAATACATAAAAAGTTACAGAATACTCAACACTAAAGAAGAAAAGGGGGAAAAAATAACCACAGTAGCTCCTGATTTATTGGAAAAATAAGTTCAAAATATAAAATCAGATTTATTTGCTGTTGGCTCAGTCTCTGTGTTCATGAACAAAATGTTATAATTAAAGCACTAAGCAGCTAAAAACACCTGTGACCACAATATTAAATCCAACTAAGGGCAGGAGCAAAAATGGAAGAAAAAGAAGAAGGGATTTGGAAAAAAATAGTCACTTTTGTTTTTTAACAGGAAGATCTGACGGAACAAGAAATGTTAAAAAAAAATAAAAATCAACAACACCCTGCATATCTTGTAAGTAATAAAAAGGAACAAAAGCAACAAAAGAATTCTTTCAAACATGAAAGAGTACTCCAGCAACAAATACGAGTATTAAAATATCAGCTTAACAGAAAATCAATAAAGTGTTACAACCCACTTAAAAGAGTCAATTCAATACTGCAAAATTATTTTCTACTCATTCATTGTACTAGATTATTGTGGTGAGTAGAATGAAGAAAGAAGCTGCTATCTAGAAGAAAACTCATTACATTACCATTAGCGTTACATGTCCTACCATACAATTTCTACTTTGTTAACCTAACTGAAGCTAGAAAACAATGTAGTAGAGATAGTGAGGAAGGGAGTACTCTGTTTGAACTATTTTTGAGGGGGCGGTTGATTGGAGGACTTTGCTGAAACACCCTAAAGAATTAAAACACAGGGGAATTATTATTACTTGTATTATCCTAATATTACTGAAACCAGAGATCTCATCAGGCTGGTCAACATATGAATGAAGAAAAACAACTGCCCTAGAAATATTATTTCACTAGACCAAAAATACCATTTTCTGGTTGGATTCAGGCATTCTTGCAACACTGAGAATGCATCCACGTGGTGATGAGTAACTCTGCTGAAGCACTGCTAGTGAGGTCAATATAGTTTTAAGTGCAGATTTGAATGAAGTAGCCTGGTTGAGTTTTTTCCTAGTATAACAACCTCCATCTAAGTAATGCAGGAAACATGCCTTCAAAACCCAGGTAACACACCCAACTCTGTTTCAAAGCTCATAGCATGTGAGAACTCAGATAGGTATTTTTGAAAATAGAGTTAGATGACTCTCTAGAACAGGTATTAGTGTAGGACAAGCAACAGCAGTGCAGATTTGTATAGGTAACACTCTAGAGCTCCCCAAAAGCCTTCAGAAGAGCATGCTGGACCCAGCTCTTTACTTTCAGGAGTCTTTTTGCTTAGTGCAATGGGGAAGGAGAGTTAAAACGACAGAAAGCCACATCAAGAGATGATACACTAGGAAAGCTAGAAGTTTCAACATTCAGTGGCTGAGAAATTAAATTACCAGTCTTGCTGATGGCAAATTGAAAGCCAGAGATCTGATAAAAAGGTGAGATTTTAGTAATGGTATCTGGAACTAAGTTGCAACACCTCCCATTTCATGTTTGTGATGTGTATTTGGTTATACCTTGCGCATAGATGAAGTTAAACTGTTTCCAGATAACTTTCTAATTACCTTGTACTTAACTGACAGCATATTCAAAGCCTTACATAAAACAGGATCAGGAAAGTAAAACTAAACACGATAGCAAAAGGGAAAAGAAACAGCAGTACAAGACAGAAACAGCAGTACAATACATCAGAAAGTGGTAATGCAGTCAAAATAAATAGGAAAAAAAAAATTTAACTGATAAAAGTGTAAGAAAATAATTTAAGAATCCCTGTTGAACTAGAAGACAAACAAAAGAATATCCATTCTAGAAAGAGGTATTTTCAGAGAAAATAACTGAAGAAAACATAGAAGATAAAGGAAATTATTTTTTCAAGTATTTACTATTGATGACTTGAATGAGATATTTTTCTCTTTTCCCTAATAAACGTGACAAAAATAGTAGTGACATAGACAAGGAACTTTGTAGATAGAGATGGTAATGTACTTAAGCAAAGCAAATCCCTGGAATAAAATGGCATGTATATAACTATATGTACATCCTTAAGCTCCAGGCACTTAGAATAAGTGTCTGAATTTGCAATAGACCTGCAGGCAAACACAATGAAGTATCAGCACAAGTTTCTACTTGTGAAAGGAATATAAGCTGCATGTGTCTTTTAAATAGGCATTTTTAATTGACCAATGAACCTTACTTCAAGACAGGAGTTTGTCATTTGCAATTATAATAAGGTAGATGAATGATGGAATAATATCGAAAAAATCCTATAATATACTGTCGGTCTGCAAAAAAGACAGCAAAATAGAAGATAAAGGACAGGGAATCAAGTGGAGGATGATGTAAAATATTAGACTTTGAATTTGTGATCAAAGTCTTACAAAGGAAATAGTTGAGAAAGCTGACAAATATGAGAAAAACAGATATTTTCCTCTACCTGCATTTCCTACACCTGTATTTCAAGTTAGCAACAAGTTTCCATTTGAAAATTATTTAATGTGACAGACAGCAAACTGAGGTACTTTCCAGATACATAATTATTCAAATTAGTCAGGAATAGGAATAGATAAGACTGAATATATTTTAAACAACTGATGAATAAAGCAGGACTTAAGAAAAACAAAAAATGGCAGAAACTAAGCAGAGATCATTTGAACTAGTTATATGCTTTAGTAATTTAAGCAGGAACTCCAAGATCATTGCATACAACCCAGTTAAAACTTTTGATTGCTTACATTTAGTAACATAAGAGATAGAATAAGAAATAATTCTGCAAATACTATTGAGCTGTTACGTGGTTCAATACAGATTCGTTAGATGTACATCTGGAACACCATGTGCTGTTCTGTTACATTATCTGACAAAAAATGTAGCAGTAACTGAAGGATATACATATTTAAATCATATTAATCATCTTTGAAAGTATGACCTAAATTTAAATAAAAAGTACTGATTTTGTATAGCATTTAGAAGATACAATTATAAAAACCAAGAAATAACATGAAAGAAGGAAAGATAGTAATTCCATTTTTATCTTTCAAATGACAAAACAAAACAAAGACAAAAAAACCCACCAAACTGCCTTCTGTATGTTATTCTCAGATACACAAGTGGATTAATTGAATAAAAAAACCCACAGAAAGTCAACCAATTTTCACAGCAAATATATAGTGAGAGATTGCATACTTTAGAATCCATATAGCTTTTGTTTGTTTCTGATGTAGTTATTGCATCTGAAAACATTAGTGAGCTGCACTTAATGTATACAAATAAAACGAAAAGGAGAAAGGAAATGACACAAAACTATGTGCCTAGTCATGCCTTATTTTGCTCTGATAAGGAAATTTTGTCTAAACAAAGTTTGTGGAACTTCTCTGAATAAGATTCCAGAAAAACATCTAATTCTCATTTACGATGCAAAAAGACTTCAAAAGCTTTTGTATAGTATATGAAGGATTTTTTTTTTTTTTCTCACATTAATAGATACGACAGTGAGCTGATGTACCAAACACTATCTTGTAGAGCTGGGAATAGACAACACAAGTCAGAACATGCCCTTCATTTATTTTATCACGCGCTTTGGGAGGTAAAAATCCCCAAAAGGATGACTTCACGAAATATGACAAATGTAGTGCTAAACATGCAACAAAATCGTGAGCACAGATCAACTGCCTTCAGCATATTCCAAGCAAAAGGTCTACTTGAGCTGAAACTAATAGAGCACTCAAGGACCAAAACGTATTATAAGAGAGTAATGGAGCACAGTTAAATATATCTGAAAAGAGATAGTTAAAAAAGGAAAAAAATAAGATTTGTAGACTAACACAACCATTACATGTAAGAAATTCTACTGCATTCAGAAATGTTTGGCAATGGAAGGAAAATGATAATCACCCTATGTAAAGCAAAACATTTCTCCATCTCTTCTACCGAAGTTAGTTCTACATTTTTTTCAAGCTGATATAGATCATTTAGGACAGGGATGCTTCAGGCTCAACACCAATGCAAACAGATATTGTGGTAAGGGTCTGCATCTCCAGGCAATCCAGAAACTGGATTGTGTTGAGTAAACAGAGCATTACTTGTACTTCAGAAATATTTTCAATTTTCAGCCTAATATAGAACTAATATTAGGAGGAGCTTAGGCAACTGAAGATCCTTCTGTAACATTTTCATTTTAAAGACGTGAACAAATGCAAACAAGCAGATTCACAATGAATATGTTCGGGATTTTTGTTTTACTTACATATCTTTGTGATCCATCATATTCACACCTCTCAATTTTTCCCAAGCTGCCATCTGAAAAGTAAAGTTTCTCCGCCCTATGATCAATGGTAAGTCCATTCGGCGTCAGAATATCTGTACTAATGATAACCTGGGCATTTTTGCCCGAGAGGGTAGATCTCATGATGCTTGGGAGCTGCTCATTCCAGTTAGTCCAAAACATTAAGCTGTATTAAAATCAAAATAACAAACAAAACCATAAGATACATTTTATAATTTAATTCTCTATGAAATGAGCAACAGAAAAAACAAATGTTTTCAGCAACACTTATGAATAGCATCTATAAGAAATTGTGATAATCGATAGTGAATAAGAAAATGTGATAGCCAACATCCTATAAACTTTAGGAGTTTCCTAGTTCATTAACTTGTATACGATTAATAACTTGGTTACAATATAAACTTAATTCTGCTAATATGTGTATTAGTAATTTCTAACAGTGAAATTAATCTGCTACTTTTCCCAGTTTAGAACTGCTATGCAGAAGGTGGATAACAGGAAATCAAGTGACCTTAATATGCTCTACAGAAGGCACGATCGGCCCCTGGCTACTGTTACACAATAGTGGAGAAAATGTTATGGAATATGTTGTGGATGTAATTTATACACTCATCAGAACCTGCCCATCCTCTCATTGCAATCTCCATCAGTATTTCGTTGGGTTTTTTATGATACCTAGATAAATCATATTTTACAACACAGCATAAACTCTTTAATTTGCATAAACTGTACGTGAAGCCGCACATGGAAATAACCTCCTTGACTGCGCACGCAACATGGTATGTTCAGTTATCACAAATTAAAAACAGAAAGTAATGGGGCAGAAATGTAGCCCAGCCTCCCCAAAGGGGAGACAGTTACGAGAAGCAGAAAAAGCAGTTGCCTTTCGTCCACAATTAACAGAGAAGATTAAAGTAACTCAAATTTGTAAAACACTTCCTAGCAAGAGGCTGAAGTAGAAATATAAACCCTCCTACTACCTTACTAGGAAACGAAGTCTTCTTGAGAGTGGCAGAAAGGGGATTAAATTAGATTTCTCTCCAGGATGTTGTCCACAAGCACCAAAAATGTATGTATTTACATAACAAGAGTTGTACAACACTGATCTTTGTGATAAACACATGGGCCTATCAATTTGCCACACAAGAAACTCTGATTGCATTTTGTAAATGCTTAAATTAATTTTGCTTTTATTTAAACAATGAAAGTACCAAGTCTGACATAAGAAATCAGTAAAATTAGCGCTCTAGATAATTTACATTTAAGTCATTAACACCTTAAATTTTTTAACATTCCATAAAACTGTAATGATTATTCGATCTGGAACATAAAACCATAAAAATGTTGTATCTTAATATTATTTTTTTTAAAGTGATTGCAGAACTAACATTTGTCTCCTAATCTACTTAACTTTCATAGGGTCCAGCAGTATTAGTTGACTGTGAAAGAAAGAAAGTGCTGCCATGACCTTGACGTTAAGCAAAAATTAAAATTTGGTAAGAAAGATGTAATACATACTTTTGACATTCATCTAGAGCTAACACGTGTGGATGATCATCTTCAGACATTGTTATTACTGCTTCCCGGTTGAAAGCTCCTCGACGCCTCTGGTCAACAGTGTGTCTTGTGATTGAGGATGTGGTTGAACTGGTCCAATAGAGAGTGTCCCAGGCTCTATGATAAGCGAGTCCCTCCACTGACCCAACATCTGGAATACACAGTTACAGATAGATGGCAAATAAAACTCCTTCTCACAAGATGTTAGTTTTTCTTTTTCCTTGAAGTTGATCCTTCAGGATCACAGAGTTCAGCTACTTCAGCCTACTGACTCCGTCAATTCTTTTATTGTTTCACTTGTCTATTTTTTATTGAAATCAAAGTCTTATTACTTTTTCATAAATTTAAATAAACTGAGAAAGGAAGACTACTATTAATATTTCTGTACTATATTTGCCAATTCTAACAGTCATTAAATTAGTATTTTTACTACAGCGTCCCCAGATAATGCATTAGAAATAATCATTTATTCAGAAGAGCAATAAAACAGTCATAACTTCAAACATCATGTAAGCCAAGTCTTGGGCATGTTTTCACTAATTACTTGTATTATTTAGCATTACCTTTCAATGCATTTTCTAACACAGACATAAATTAATAGGGATCAGTGTCCTTTTGTTATTAACTGCGTAGGCTTTTTTTAAATACCTGAAAAATACTAAAAAAAAGACCAACTCTGAAAGTCTCAGCATCAATACAATGTTTTAATAAGCCACAACACCACACTCGTTCATTCTACATAAAAAATGTGAGCTAGAAACAAAAGCAAATATTAATAAGCAGCTAAAGCATATATTTAATGTCCAGAAAAGATAAATTGCATCTGATTCCAATATATAAAAGTGACAGGCTATGAGAAATACGACTAATTATTTCATACAATTATTTTTGAATTACTACAGAAATGTACGTTGATTACTTCACTTATTATTTTGTTAGAAACAAATAATTTTAGACCAGAAGGTTCGTGCAGCTTATTAATGAGCTACTGAAGGCAAGAATCTAGAAATATAATAAGGATTACATTACACTGGTTATAACAATTTACATTTGGCTTGCTAGAAGATGTAATTTTTACCATGCAATTCATACACACAAAATAGAAAGTCCCAAAGTAAGTTTGATCACACTGAAAGTGCAAACACTAAATCAAAACCATAAGGAAAATAAATCAAACCTATGAGAAATAATTATTTATCAGTTTTTTATATTTCTCTAAATTATTTGGAGATCTGGCTGAATTTTCATGACATACTGTAGAGGAGTCTCAGTAACTTGTCTTAAAAAAGAATAGAAAAAGTAAATTAGATGACACTCCTTAAGTGGAGGTGAATATAAGTAAAATGGGGTTTCTGACTTATTAAGGAAACATTTAGTAAAAAAAGATAAATTCAGCTCACTTACAAGTAACTTCAAAAAGTGACTGAGTTTATCTTTAATTGAAGGCAACCTGAAAATTATAAAAAGTTCTTCTAATCATTGCAAAAATGACCCTTTAGGTAATTCTGGTTTTAAAAAAGATGAACAGGTTATGAGTATTCTTTCTTTAATAAGACAAATAAATATTGCATTTAATTTATTTTTAATTTTAACTATCAAAAACATACTGAGGAATAGTGAAGTTTTTATTTTTCATTTCTGAAACCATCCAATTGAAATTAAAGATAATCAGTTCTTTCAAATGTCAAGACAGAGATGTGCAAACACTTACTGAAGTGTTTAAAACTCAGCTAACACGCCTGAATGCAGGCTTCTTATCAACTATGATTTCTGCAGTTTCTGAGTATGTCTGAACTGGGAAAGTCAGTTGCTTCATTCTTGGGTCATGCACCCCTGAACACCACATGCATGATACTTTATACCAGGGCAACCTTCTGGAGCAAAACAACTGATTCCTTCTGAGATGTAACCCAGGTATTCTTCTGGCAAAAGTTTGCTACTCTCTAAAAAAAAAAAACCCCACTCTTTGGGAATATAAATAAAACCATAATCAGGTTTTGCTCCTCTTGCCTACTGAGACCTTCCAATCACTAAAATTTCTATACCTCAAACAACTCTTAACTTTCTCACACCATGCTTCAGGACATGAAAAATATCCTTGACATCATAACATCAAAACAACGCTCTTAGGACTGACACACAGGCACGCACGCTATTTTAGGTAGCATAAGCCAGAAGAAATCCTAAAAATAATGATAATTTCTCAGAGTCAGAGAAACATAACACAGGATTCAAAGGAAATTTGGATTCTAGAGGCACCAGGTCAAGGACTGCATATATGAACCACTCTGCTCTCTGGTCTGGGCCCAGGGATCACTCCCAGGGGCAGAAATCTGTACAGTTTAGATACAGGCTCTGATATACTTCTTGGTCACTTCTTGCAAATCTTCCACTAACTGTGAAATTAAAATAAAATTTAGTAAGTGTCATAAATGTTAAAATAAAGAGCCAGGAATACAATTAGTATCTACTAATCTAGTTGGTCTCGATGATCCTTATGGCTCCCTTCCAACTTGGGATATTCTGTGATTCTATTAAAAATGACAGAAGATGTACCGACATTTTCTGACCCATTTTGAACTTTATTTGTGATGAACAAACCATCAGAGCATTTATTGCACTACTTTTACCTTTCATATCTGTGAATGTCAAGTGTTTCCTCATCTTTATTATGGAAGTTTTTAGAAAAATGAAATCAAGTCTTTGTCTTGTGGTTAAAGACATAGCCCTTAGGAGGTGAGGATTTAGCTAGGATTTGATGCAAATCATGCTCTTCATTTGAAAGATGACTATCAGGAAAAAAAAAAAATTTCCCTCATGTAATCACTTGAATTTCTGTCAACTTTAGCTTTGTTCATTGTCTGAATCTGTCAAGAAATTTGAAAGTAAACTGTTTATATAACACAGCCTAAAACTCTTCTGTAGTAGACAAAAGGCAATGGTCTTGTTCCTGCCACAGCTAGATGTGATGAACTACACCACTAGCAGAATGATGAAAGTGTTCTTCAAATACAAGATCTGTAGGTTTACTTGTAATTTCTATACTTAAGAAGAGAACTCCATTATTCTACAGGGAACAGAATCCTGTAGATTCTTAAACCAAACCAACGTATGATACTACAAATTCATATCAAGGTCTGTAAGTTGTGACAGAAGAAGGCTTAATTCAACATTACTATTTGTGATTTCTAATTTTTAGAAAACAGTGTCATGGAAAGTTATGCCATATATGGAAACAAGCAAACATTTAACATACAGATGAAAAATGCATCATCTTCTTATTTTAACAAAATATCTAAAATGTGCAGTTTTGAAAGACCTTGTCATCTATACATATGTTCTGAGTCGAGTGGAACTAAACCAAAGCAATCAATGAAACATTTTATTTAAAAGAGAAATGCAGCAACAACTTTAAAAGAAAATAAAGAGGCTAGGATAAAAAAACCTCAAAAAGTCTTTATCATAACAGGAATTTCAAAGACTAAGACTGTGACTGGAAAGAAGAAAACAAACAAACAAAAAATAAACATCCCAAAATAATCTGGCAACAGAATTAGGCTGCGAAAGTTGCCTCAAATCATATATCTGATATCCAATTTAGGAAATATTTTATCACAAACAAAACTTCAGGAACTGCTTGACATGTATATGCTTTTCAAAGATGAAGAGAGGGCTCCTTATTAGATTACATCTTCAAGCTAATTAAATCTGAAACTATCAAAAAAATTCAGGTAATAAGCCTGTGGATGATAATGGCTTCAAAAATACCACAACTGAAAAATTCAGAGTAAAATATATGCTTTTTTAAATTAAAATGAAACAAAAAACCCACTGAAAAGAACCACCACAACATAAACATTCAGAGAAATTCAATTGCCTTGGTGTAAAAAAACTCAGAAAAATACTACTTAAATATAAAATTGTCTGCTGCAAACACATACCAAGTGCATTTGCTTCACTTCACCAAACGTACAAATACTGAAGGATTTGTACCAAGCACACACTTTTATTTGCCAAGGAACTTTTAGTTTTATCATGTTCCTTACTTATAGAATTAAGAACTCCACCAATACAGAAGAGAATCCATTAATGCTTTTAGTATTAATAATAAGGTGGTTTTAAAGACAATGGCATAAGATCTAGAGAGTAGGTGCTAAAGCGATCCAAGATTTCGATAAATTCTTATAATGGAAAATAAAACTAACTTTGTTTTTATTAGCATGTTGTATGAGCTGAAAGTACCACCATCGGTACACTACTCAGGCAAACCTTCAGTGCAGTAAGTTATCAGTGCTAATACAGTGGTTTTTGAGTTTATGTTGTTTCTAGGTTGAAATAGACTTTTTGGTTTAGAGGTTAGTCAAGAATCTTAAAATTCATAGAAATCATTGTCCCAGTGATAAAACAGGTGCCAGCTGAGAACAGAAACGAACCCAGAAAAGTCCTTTAGCCACTTTCAGGTGGTTCCTTAAAACAAAAATATTCTAGGAGCTTCATATTGCCAAAGCCAGGAGACCGGAGAGATTCCAAAGCAACTGCATTCTAGTGTTATATCATCAGCAATTTGCACTGATATTATTTTATACTAACTTATTTTACACTTCCTTAAGGGATATTCTAGAGTACTTTTTTTTTTTTTTAAGGTAATTTATCATTATATATTCAGTTACTTTAAAATACATGAGAAATACGTACTCATCCTATCTGGTGCTACAATTGGGGGATTCAGTCCCAAAATCTACTGACTGGATAAAAATTAGCAATTTCTTCACTCTCAGCTTCATATTTTCACAGCATCACATAATATTCTGAATTAGTAAAGCATAAAGAAACTGGAAATGAAAAGAAACACATTTGTTTCACTGACATATTGAATTAAAACACTGATGGCATTAGATGCCTACAGCACTGATTATATTCTAGCCATGAAGCAACAGTTTATGATTTTCACATGAATAGCATACTTAAATGAAAGGAACATTAATACAATATGATATTAATATACAAATACTCACATTATTCACCTGCCACTGACATTCTGAATTAAATCAGTAATGGGGTGTATAACTGATTAAATATCTACACAAGAGAATGCAACAGCTTATGATTTACAAAGGCAATGGTAGAGTGATCACATCATTATGTTGCCAA